GTGTATCCATTCCAAATAACAGTTTGCCTGTTTTTGAGATGGATATAAATGCAATTTTATATGTCTGTATTTGTGTCTTGCCCCTTTCACTCAATACTGTTTTTGAGATAATATGTACTTGTTATTAATATTTTGTTTAGGACTTTGCAGTATATTTCCCTTCTTAGACTGTCTTGTGGATGGGTTTGGGTGAAAGAGTAGAATATTCCCTAAAATTCTCATATTTTATGGACTTCCAAATTATATAAGATTAAAATTTTAAGGGGAATTTATAAAACATTTTGGGAATACTGATAAATATGTTAATAACCTTTTACTTCATGAGATAATTTATTTTTAAAAGCTACCTTATTTTTTCTTAGAACAATAAGCACACAGACTTAGTTTGCATTATTTAGAAAAAAATTTGAGTAGAGCAGCAGAGACAGAGCTGTCATCTGCAGGTTCTGTCTCCAGATGTCCATAGTGGTCAGGCCAAACCCAGGAGCTGGGAACTCCATCCCGGTCTCCTGTGTGCCTAGCAGGAACACAACCACTTGAGCAGTCCCTGTTGCCTCCCAGGGTCTGTATTAGGAGGGAGCAGATATTGGATGACAGAGCAAGGGATCACACCCAGGCACCTGAAATGGCACGGCATCCTGTTAACTTAGCTGCTAGGCCCAATGCCTGACACTGACTTGCATTTTAAAGGGGAAGGAGAGTAGTTTATGAGAAAACCTATGAACATAACACAAGAAACAGCAACAGTGAAAAGACAGCTGATAAAATAGGAGAAAAAACCCTACAAACTATGTTTAAATATTTGGTTAAGTGTCAATATCTAGAATATGTAAGGAACTCAAACCTCCTGGTAGCGAGAAAATAATCTTTAAAATGGACAAAGGACATTAATAGACATTTCTTAAAAGAAGACAAATGACCAACAGGTATGTGAAAAGAAAGCTCATCATAACTGATCAGGGAAATGTGATATCACCTCACACCAGTTAGTGTGGCTGTTATCAGACAGACTGTGAGTGTTGCTGGGCATGAAGGGAAAAGGGAGGTCGTGCACACTGGTGGAGGGAATGCAGGCTCCTCAAAAGAGAAGAAAAACGGAATGATTGCTGTGGGGAGCAACTGGGAGCAACTCGGACTAGACTAAGTTACTGGAATTAAGACTTATTCTATGCATCTGCTCTCCCACAATATGGCGCTGGGAGAGGAGGAAACAGCTTCTAGACAGCTGCCTCCAGTTCAACCAATAAACTGTAGGACCTGCTCCTGATTGGAGGAGAGCAGCGTACTCGGCGTGTGGGTAGCAGAGTTGGGATTGGTGGAAGAGGACTATAAAGGAGGAGAGAGACAACATGCACCGGGAACATCTATCTGAAGGAACACCTGTGCAGCCCCCGAGAGAGCCGGCCAGCGGTGTGCCGCTCCCCCGCGGAAGTGGGGAAAGTGGCAGGGGGAACCGCCCTTCCACAGAGGTGGAAGGGATGGTAGCCAACCCGGGAAGGACCAGCAGCCAACCCGGGAAGAACCAGTAGCAAACCCGGGAAGGGCCGAGCAGACAAAAGAACAGCGCAGGGTCCTGTGTCGTTCCTCCACGAAGACGGGGAGCGACAGATTGCATCACCCGGCAGGCCCATTACTGAGTATATATCCACAGGAGAGGAAAGAAGCGTGTTAAAGAGATCCCAATCTGCTGTGTTCATGGTGACGTTATTCACCATAACCAAAGTGAACAGTCACCCTCAGTGCCCATCAGCAGGTGAGAGGGTAAAGAAAGTACAATAATGGAATACTGTTCAACCTTCAAACATCATGGGATCCTGTCACTTCTGACAATTGGGTGATCCTGCAGGACATCGTATTAAGTGAAATGAACCAGGCACAGAAAGACACATACCATGTGTTATTCCTCACATGTGGATTCTGAAAAAGTTGAACTCCTTGAAGCAGAGAATAGATTGATGGCTTCCTGAGGCCAAGTGATGGTGCCACTGGGGAGATACTGGTCAAAGCATTCAGAATCTCAGGGGTGGGGGGTGGGGGTGTCAGTGCAAGAGATCCATCGTATGATGTGATGCCTGTGGTTAATAACAATGTGTTGTATGCTTAGAAATTGCTCTACAAAAGAGAAGTGCCTATTTTAATTAGCTTGATTTAACCATTCCCCAGTTGAATACATATTTCAAAACATGTTGAACACCATAAATATATTCAATATTTATTCATTAATTAAAAGAATAAAGAAAACCCATGAAAAATGTTTTGTAAATGGAATAGTAGTTTTTAACTTCAGTTTCTTGTTAACACTGAAATGTGTTGTCTTAAGAGGAGCCCCACATTGAGAAAGAATTTCTCTCTGATTCCACTGAATAAAATTCTGTTAATTTGGTTCATTAACTCATCAGTCAATACCTCTTGGAAGCGTTTTGTTTAGATCTGTCTTGGCATGTTTGCTGTAAACCAAGCGTTCCTTATTGCAGACCCAGAGTGTGTACCGAAGACAGGGAATGGCTTTACTTGAAACACATTCACATTCTTCCAGAGGCACTGTCCAGAGACCCTATTAAACCCTCACTACAGGCCAGTCAGTGGTATCTGGGAATGCTGTCACCACTCTGGCCCCAACAGCCAGTGGTAAGCCAGGCAGTGGCAGGTCCTCACTCCTGGGAGGTGGATACCTGTTCTGCTGAGACGCTGCCAGGGAGTGCGTGAGGGCGAAGCTGCTTCCTATGCCACTCCTGCCCTCATTCCCCTGAGTCTGCAGACGTTGCCTGCGGTGTGTATTGGCCCTGAAGCTGAAGAAACTTACCAAAGTGCAGAACAAAGCCATTCTTTTCACTAGGTTTTTTTAATTAGAAATTTTTATTTTTCCTAAATATGTCATGTGTTTTAACACATGAAGGGTTGTTCATTGCTATTTCAGTCAATGAATTGGTGCTTGTAAGCATTGTCAGTTTCCATTCTCTGGCAGTAAATTCTGATAGACACAGCTCACACGGAATCGTCCTTTGATGTCTGTGCTGATGCTTAAGAGGGTCACGGGTCATGGGATGAAAAGTGTGAGACACGCTGGTATAGAATGGGGTGCATTTCTTAATGTGTTGTGTATATTAAGAACTGTGGGTAGGGAGCTGTGGCACAAAAACGAGAACATTTGGTCTTTATGCCACTAAGATTTATAAGCACAGCTGAGTCCTGATTTTGAAATTTGAGCTATGACTCCCTCCAGTTGTCTGCATTCTCTAGACCACTCCAGATTTTTCCCAGGATCACCAAAAGTATCCCTCTGTGTGGCTTCTGTTAGTTGCTGCTGTCATTACTCCTTCCATTGGGTAAGGAATTGAAAGTCTGGGTTGAACTGAAATCATAGTACCTGAAGCGCAGTATATTGTGTAAGAGCTTCCCAGCTAGTGTGCTAGAATACACTAGCAGCAGGAGCCTGCAGGACGGTCCCTGTCACCATGAGCATCCTCACTCAGGACTCATGGAAGTCACAGCCCAAGCAGTGTCTAATGGTAGTGTTTTGAAATCACCAAAGGTGACTGTTAACTGCACTGGGTGCATTTCCTTGGTGTGCTAAGCACGGACATAGATTTGCTGTCCCCTGTGAATGTCTGCCTCAGTAGGAAATTGCTTGATGTGCCCCTGGGTCAGGGACCCATGCCATCCAGGAGAGACAGATGGAAGGGCTGTATCTCCAGGTGGAACCCCCCATCTCTGACATTGTGTCCAATTAGAGCTTCATTTGACATAGCAAGATTTGATTAAATAGGAGAATAATTCTCTTTATAATGAGGAAGTTTTAACCTTACATTTTTCAAGAGTACGAACATTTGTTAGCTTCTCCAGACATAATCTCAACTGTTGTAAATGGAATGACTATAAAGAAAAGATTTTTTAAAACTTGCCCACAAAATATTACATTGAGTACCATTTACTGTGTGCTAAGCACTGTTGTGTACACTGCCTGTTACTGCAGGAAGTGTATGGCCATTTCACAGAGAACTCTGAAAGGGTGATGGTCAGAACAGCAGTCTCACACACACTAAAATATAAAAAAAAAATTACATAAAGGGAATAAATGTCATGTACTTCCATATATATGTTTTTTTTTTATTTTTTATTTTTGACAGGTAGAGTGGACAGTGAGAGAAAGAGACAGACAGAAAGCTCTTCCTTTGCTGTTGGTTCACCCTCCAATGGCTGCCGCAGCTGGCTCACTGTGGCCGGCGCACCGCGCTGATCCGAAGCCAGGAGCCAGGTGCTTCTCCTGATCTCCCATGCCGGTGCAGGGCCCAAGGACTTGGGCCATCCACTGCCCTCCCTGGCCACAGCAGAGAGCTGCCTGGAAGAGGAGCAACTAGGACAGAATTCGGTGCCCCGACCAGGACTAGAACTTGGTGTGCTGGCACCGCAGGTGGAGGATTTGCCTATTGAGCCACGGCACCAGCCCCATATATATGGTTTTAAAACCATAATGACTCTTCCCATGCCACCCTCCCTCCCCCTTCCTTATTTTTCTTTTTCGTTTTTACAATGACATACTTTTAATTTGCTTTAAGCACAGCTTAGCTATCCACTAAATGAAGAATTCAATAAGTAGTAAGTAGGAAAGCCACTGTGCCTCCAGAGTGTAGAAAGGCTATATACCATAATGAAATCTCAAAATATCAAAGGTTAATAAAATTTTAAATGCTTTGAAGCATACCAAAATCCAACCTTTAATAACTTCCCTGGTGGTTGTATTTTCCTTTATTGTAATCATACACATTCAGTGAGACTCAAGTGGGTTTTTTTTTTAAAGATTTTATTTATTTATTTGAGATGTAGAGCTACAGACAGAGGGAGAAACAGAGAGAAAGGACTTCCGTCTGCTGGCTCACTCCCCAAATGGCTGCAACGGCTGGAGCTGCACCAATCCAAAGCCAGGAGCCAGGAGCTTCTTCCCAGTCTCCCACATGGTACATGGGCCCAAGGACTTCAGCCATCTTCTACTGTTTTCCCAGGCCACAGCAGAGAGCTGGATAGGAAGAGGAGCAGCCAGGACTAGAACCAGCACCCATATGGGATGGCAGCGCCGCAGGTAGAAGATTAACCTACTGCACCACAGCGCTGGCCCCGAGACTCTGTTTTATACCTGTGAGGAAAAGAAGTTGGGGAGCCACAAGGCATCGTGGGAAGAGGTAAAGATCGAACTCCTCATTATCCTTAGTTATTCTGCATTTTATAGTATATTAAAAGTGATACTTCTTATATGTATGTAAGCGTAACTGTTGGTATTGATTTCCTTGTGTATTTCTCCTGTTTTTTTTTTTTTCTCTCCCTTTTTTTGGTTCATGGCTGCATGCTCTCCATCTTCATTGGCAGCTCAGTTGTTAGCCCCATGGCTTCAGAGAGTCCTCTGTGGTTAGTTTCCTAAGATGCTTCTCTGACCTTTGTACTGATGATGTCTTCATGTTCCCCAAAGAAGATCCACTTTGAGCCAGCCTCTGAATTCAGTGCCTGCTCTAATTTCACAATGAGACTTATCCTTGCCCTTATAACCCCTGCATATCTCATGTACTTCTATCCCCCCCTTCATACCTCAGTGCTGTAAGGAAAGCCAAGGGTAACACGGAAATTCTCTGAGCCCATTGTTGGGGTTATAGGGTGCTTATTTTTGTTATGCCTTTGCTTTCTAAGTGATACAGCAAAGAAAATATTTTGATGGTCAGCTGAATTGCACAGGTAAGTATCGTTGAATAGTTTCTCCTAGCAGGGGCTGTTGAAAAATAGTCTGTACATGTTCTTTGGTAAGACACATTAGTGAACTTAACATTTCCAGTCCTCGATGGCCGCGTGTTATGTTTCATGTTATCCAGAGGGTGGATACAACAGTATGTGTGTTTTGTAAGATGTGAGCTAGGACACAGGTCTCTGCAAACATCTTCAAGTGACTTCTGATACATGCAAGTGGGCATCCCACCTTCTAGAAATCACACAAAAATAATAAGGAAAAATGGCAATTTAAAAACCCTACAAACAATACCATGAGCAAACCTAGAGCCCATGTGAGAGCTACCAAGAGTAGCTGAGACCTGCAGCAAAAACAGTGGCTAGACTGTTCAGTAGCAGCAGGTCTGAGCACAGCATCAAGTGCTGTCTCTAAAGTGGAAGTTGCCATTGCATGCTTTCACAGTGGTAAAACTGAGCGAGCAAGACCGGTGCCAAGAAACCCTGCGAGGTGTGACATGAGGCCACACAAAGCATCACCAACGATGTGCTGTATTTGTATCAAGAAGAGGAAAGGGGAATCTGTGGCTTACAAGGCTTGGGGCTCTTATCCAGGAATTCTCTGCAGAGATCCTGCCAAGGAAACCCATTCAGTCATGACAAGCAAGGGGCACTGGCACCACCTCAGCATAAGACAGTGTAAGCAAAGCCCAAGGAGGAGAGGGGCCGAGTTTAGCAAGAGATTGCAAAAGGCTTCTCCAAAAAGACGGCAGTGCAGACCAACACTGCTGATTTTGTTATTCTATGAAGGAAGACTATAAGAAATGGGGCCAGCAAGACAAGAACACAGAGGGCAGCAGGGGACCTGGGAGAACAGATCTGAGCAGTGACCCACATGGCCAAGGCAAACTCATCAGAGAAATGACAGTGAACTGCGGGCAACAGAGGTGACAACAGGACAGAAGTGGGTGAAAGCAAACTCTGGCCAGTATCTGAAGTTTACACACACACACAGGACAGTAAACCAAAATCTTCACAAAAGACCTTCATGTTTGGGGTCACAGAATGTGAGGGACAAAGTGAAAATGCCGCCATCTGTGGAACCGGCAGCCCGATGGGTGCCGAGCTGGGCTGGGAGGAATTCTTGGGAGCTGCCTTTGAGGGGGGCAAACAGCCCAACCAGAGCAAAAAGCATTAGAATAAACAGCCCTTCCAGTCACAGCAGAATGAGGAAAGAGCTCCTGGTGCTTGGGAAACAGCACAACACAGCAGCACTGGTATTGCACACCTAATGTCAGGATCGGGATTTCTTTTTTTTTTTTTTTTTTTTTTTTTGACAGGCAGAGTGGACAGTGAGAGAGAGAGACAGAGAGAAAGGTCTTCCTTTGCCGGTGGTTCACCCTCCAATGGCCGCCGCGGCCGGCGCTCTGCAGCCGGCGCACCGCGCTGATCCAATGGCAGGAGCCAGGAGCCAGGTGCTTTTCCTGGTCTCCCATGGGGTGCAGGGCCCAAGCACCTGGGCCATCCTCCACTGCACTCCCTGGCCACAGCAGAGAGCTGGCCTGGAAGAGGGGCAACCGGGACAGAATCCGGCGCCCCAACCGGGACTAGAACCCGGTGTGCCGGCGCCACTAGGCGGAGGATTAGCCTAGTGAGCCGCGGCGCCGGCCCAGGATCGGGATTTCTAAACCTAGCCTTTGATGAGTCAGGACGGTGTGGTCTGCGTGGGAAACACTGGACAGTCTCTCCAAGATTAGAAACAAAGCCATGGAGTCTGCTCACATCCCTCCTGATATACTGGAAATCTGGGCTGGTGAGACAAACCAAGGGGAAGAAATTGAGTGCCTAAAGTTTGGAAAGGAAGAGTCTGAGCTTTTGTGTTTGAAAGACAACATGATGGTGTACACAGAAAAGAATCTACAGACATTTGGCACAGAAGATGCCAGTTGGGATGCCTGGGTTCACGTCCCAGCTCTGGCTCCTAATTCCAGCTTCCTGCTATTTCATACCCTAGGAGGCAGCAGGTACTTGAGCCCCTGCCACTCATGTGGGCACCTGGCCTAGCCCCAACTGTTGTGGGCATTTGGGAGCGAGACAGCAGATGGGAGGTTTCTCTTTCTCTCTCCCCAAATAATTTTAGACAATTCACAGATTATAAAGTCAGTATACAAAAGCTAGTTTTATTTTCATATAATAACAATGAATGAGCAACAAGAAACTTTAAAACAACATTTGCAGTAGTGTAAGTCAGTGAAACATTTAGGGATGTCATTTAAACAAGCGTTAACATGTCCTGTACTGTGTTAACGAAACATTTCTAGGAGAAAATTCAAGACCTGAATAAATGGAGAGAGATGAGACGTTCACTGCAAGACTCTATGCTGTAATGCTGTCAGCTAACTCCAGATCTCAATAAAGGTTCAATTAAATACCAATCAAGTCATGGCTTGCTGTTTGAGTGAAAAGGGGCATACATGATTTAGGAAAATATTTGTCAGTTTCTTGTGAGTTTAATGTAGACTCAATGTATGACTCAGCAGTCCCACTCCTGGGTCTTTCCCAAAGACTCAAGAAATATCTAGCCACACAAATACTCATAGGAAAAACGTTCACATAAATCGTCTTTACCACAGTCAACTTAAACAGCCAAATGTCCATAAATGGATAAACAAGTGGTGAAAATATTCATACAATTGAATAAAACATTTAAATCTGATAACTGCAACAATAGCATGTATGAATATCAAAAATAAGATACTGTATGAGAAACCAGAAACAAAACAGAGCGTGTACTATGATTCTATGTTTATGAAGTTCAAAGTAGGCAAAACAAATGTTGGTAATGAAACTCAGAACAGTGGTTGCCTCGGTGTGTGTGTGTGGGTGGGTGGGGAGGTGGGTGGGCAGCGGGTTGCATCCAAGGCCCGAGGCACCTTTTTTGTGTGAAGGAATATTTTATACCCTGTACGGGAGGGGTAAGTGGATTGATGAATTTGTCAAGACAGGTTACACTGTGTGCGCTGAGAGGCTGTGCAGTTCTGCATGTGGACTGTTTTTGGGTAAAAACACTATCAACTGTGTGTGGCAGACGTGGAGGTCCTTCACTGAGATGCTCCTTCAGTAGTGAGCCTTCGGGCAGTTGTGCAGTGAGGTGTTGCCTCACGGAGGAGCCGTGGTCTCTTAGGCAGACACGCCTTCCTGCAGCGCCCGGGAGGACTGCATGGGAGGGGTGTTTTTGCTTCATGTGAGGCTGCTGTAAAGCACCCTGTTTGACTGGACCTCCCTGTAGGATTGGCCATGGTCTCTTCCTTGGCTCTGCATCTGTGTTCTTGCCGCCCAGTTGTCCCCTCAGCCCCATACCACAGTCTAAAGCCTTTTCCTTCCTTCTCTTCCTCCTACTTTACCTGCCACAGGCATTATTCCCAATAAATCTCTTCTGTGTCTGATTCCATCTTGGCTTCTGGCACAAGCCATCAGTTTAAAACAAAAGTGTGATGGAAAGGAGATGAAGTTGCTGTCATATTGATGCATTTATTTTCATTTTTTCCAGGAAGCAAGTCTTACATGATGTCCTATGCCAGACACTCATCTAAAGCAAACAGCTTCAACGCGATTGAATATAAGGTGGTGACCAAAGGCCTGTGCACACAGAAGAGATCATGACCTTAATATCAGGTGAAGAAGAATGGATTCAAGCAAAAGCACACTGAGTGAGACTAGAGGATGCTTTATAAAGCTGAAGTTTTCAAATCATGGACTTACAATGGGTTTGAATTTGCACAGAACACAGTAGTTGCATCAATCAAAAAATAGATTCTGTGTAGATAGGAGACAGGAATATACCACTCATAGGTCACTTTACTCCCCTTCATCTCTGACAGATTAAATGAAAAAAAAGCATTTGGATGTAAAAGAATTATGTCAGTTAATAAAGTGGATAATCTATTGACATAAAATGTCCGATATACGCGGAGAATAGATCAGACGCCCCAGCAACGTAGCATTCATTATACAGAACTGCGCTGTCATCTATTGAGTAACAAAAAGCCAGTAAATCTGTAAACATTAAAAGAATGAAATCATTCTAAGTTACAATTCAACAAGTACATGAAATGAGTAATGAGCAAATGAACACTGCAGAAATGTGCACTAGAAGTAAGGGAGAAGTAACCACAAAAGGAAAAATAATGACTTGTTCTTTTGCCCAACTCTCAGCATATGTATAAATTTGAAAACCTGGATGAAATGTGGTTTCCTAGGAAAATCTAAAAACTGACTCCAAAAGAAATAGAAAATCTAGTCAGGATTTCAAAAAATCGGAGTTTCCAGATATATGCACAAGTTCCAGGATCTGATGATTTTACAGCAAATTCTAACATTCCTTAAATTCTAACAAGCCTTCAAAATACTGAAAACCCTAATGCTGCTTAATTTTATTTCAGAACATAGAAAAGGAGGAATATGATCAGAGTGTTTTTCTGAAGCAGAGCTAACGATGAAACCTGCAACCAAGGATGCCAATTGCCTTCCTGCATCTTTTCTTCCATCCTTCATGGCGAAAGTCTTGCTCTGGGGCTCCTAGCTGCCCAGCCAGAGGTTCCTTGTTGAGGTAGGGCCATGGGGCTAGGCTCTTGCTAACAAAATATAAGGGAGGGAATGTGGCACCTGTGGCTCTGGGCCTCAGGCATTGAATGTCCTCCCAGTACTCTCCCCTGCTGTACAAGCTGGAGCTTGATGCCTCACATAGATTTTTTTTTTTTTTTTTTTTGGACAGGCAGAGTTAGAAGGTGAGAGAGAGAGACGGAGAGAAAGGTCTTCCTTCTTCCGTTGGTTCACCCCCAAAATGGCTGACACGACACGGCCAGCGTGCTGCGCTGAACTGAAGCCAGGAACCAGGTGCCTCCTCCTGGTCTCCCGTGCAGGTGCAGGGCCCAAGCACTTGGGCCATTCTCCACTGCCTTCTTGGGCCACAGCAGAGAGCTGGCCTGGAAGAGGGGCAACCGGGACACAATCCAGCGCCCCAACCGGGACTAGAACCCTGTGTGCTGGCACCGCAGGCAGAGGATTAGCCAAGTGAGCCACAGCAGCAGCCCACCTCACACAGATTCTACCACAGTCAGAGTAACATCCAACAGGTTAGTTTTGTTTTTCAATTTTTATTTATTTGAAAAGGAGAGAGACAAAGACAGAGACAGCTCGCATCTGGAGGTTCACTCCTCAAATGCCTACAACAGCTGATGCTGGGTCAGACTAAAACCAGGAGTCTAGACTTCAATCTGGGTCTCCCACATGGGTGGCAGGAACTCAGGTACTTGAGCCATCATCTGCTGTACCCCACAGTAAGCATTAGCAGGAAGCTAGAATAAGATGTAGAAGTAGTACTCAAACCGGGGCTGGTGCTGCGGCTCAGTAGGCTAATCCTCCGCCTTGCGGCGCCGGCACACTGGGTTCTAGTCCCGGTCGGGGCGCCGGATTCTGTCCCGGTTGCCCCTCTTCCAGGCCAGCTCTCTGCTGTGGCCAGGGAGTGCGGTGGAGGATGGCCCAAGTCCTTGGGCCCTGCACCCCATGGGAGACCAGGAGAAGCACCTGGCTCCTGCCATCGGATCAGCGTGGTGCGCCGGCTGTAGGGCGCCGGCCGCGGCGGCTATTGGAGGGTGAACCAACGGCAAAGGAAGACCTTTCTCTCTGTCTCTCTGTCTCTCTCTCACTGTCCACTCTGCCTGTCAAAAAAAAAAAAAAAGTAGTACTCAAACCTAGACATTCCTATATGGATGCAGGTGCCCCAAGTGGTGTCTTCACACTGTACCAAATGCCAGCCCCCAAGAGTTGAAGTAACAATGGAATGAGCTTATGTTCATGCATAACCACATCAAACAGAGGCTGCCTGTGAACTGGACTGCTTGTCTTAGAATTGTGATATGAGAGACACATAAGCTTCCCATTGTATATTCAATGTTAGGAATGTCTTCCTTAAAAAAATACAGTACCAAAACTGGAAATGGGCTAAATATAAACAGTAAAAGTACAGATCAATCTTAGAATAATTACCTAAAAATGCTCCTGTATAGGTGCATGTGTCTGTCCATCATCTATCATCGTATTACCAAACGGAATCCAGAGCACAGTGTGAAGTATGGGCATTTGATATTGTGGTGAAGACATCGCTTTGTTCACAATCCCGTATTGGAGTGTGTGGATTCAAGTCCCAGTTCTGCTCTTGATTCCAGCTTCCTGCTGGAATTCCTGCTGGATTCCAGCTTCCTGGAATGCTGTGGATCCTGGAAGGCAGCTGGTGATGGCTCAAGTGCTTGGGTCCCTGCCAGGATTGAGTTGCTGACTCTTGGCTTTGGCCTGGTCCTGACCATTATGGGCATTTGGGGGAGTGAATCACCATATGAGATCTCTCTCTCTGTGCCTTCCAAATAAAATAAAAATTTAAAACAAAATGGTTTTAGAACTCCCTTGACAAAAAATAATTAGCGCATTATGTCCACATTCTTAACTTTGAAGAGTAAAAAGATGGTTTTGGGTGTGTACACCAGCACAAGCCATTCTGCTAATCGGCTGTTGAGAATGGTGGTATACGGGCAACCACAGACCCTAAGAAGGAACCTGGCAAGACTCAATGCCTATTCTTGGTTTCACAACCAACAGAGGAAACACCAAGAGTAGATCAACACTTTCTTCCCACGACAAAGTATGCCTGGCCGGTGCCGCGGCTCACTAGGCTAATCCTCCGCCTTGCGGCGCCGGCACACCGGGTTCTAGTCCCGGTCGGGGCGCCGGATTCTGTCCCGGTTGCCCCTCTTCCAGGCCAGCCCTCTGCTGTGGCCAGGGAGTGCAGTGGAGGATGGCCCAGGTGCTTGGGCCCTGCACCCCATGGGAGACCAGGAAAAGCACCTGGCTCCTGGCTCCTGCCATCGGATCAGCGCGGTGCGCCGGCCGCAGCGCGCCGGCCGCGGCGGCCATTGGAGGGTGAACCAACGGCAAAAGGAAGACCTTTCTCTCTGTCTCTCTCTCTCTCACTGTCCACTCTGCCTGTCAAAAAAAAAAAAAAAAAAAGAACAAAGTATGCCTGATTCTAAAAGGCGGTGTCATGATCAGTGGGGACGCCTTAGACATGTTCTCAGGGTCCTGATGAAACAAGAGCTCTCTGTCAGCCCTGTCACCCAGTGCTGGACTGGGGATGTTGGCCAGCACCCTAAAATGAAGAGATGAAACTGTCAGTCTTTGAGAAGACTAGGCAAGGGATCTTCAAAAAGTTTATGTAAAATCTGTATTATAAAAAAAAGTGTGTTTCAAAAAATTTGAAAGACATCTGTTAATTCCATTTTTCCATGAACTTTTTGAGGTATCCTGGTGTACTTGGAAAACCCAACAGAATTAACTGAAAAACTGACTTGTTTCACAAGACAGTGGGGTCAACAATTGAAAAGTTTTATCTAATAAAGCTCTAGATGATAGTTTACACACACACACATGCACACACATACACAGTATATGTGTAGATGATAGTTTACACACACAGACGTGCACACACATGCACAATATATGCTCACAAATGGAGGAGTTTATAACTCTTGGCATAGCAGTGTGGGAGATACTCCAATTGTAGGAGTAAGCTGTAAACTATATAAAATAGCTTAGTGATTTACTTGTAGTAACCCAGATCAAAGTCAGACTTTCTGTGGTTTCCATTCCCATATATTTTTTCAAGAACATGTAACATTTGCATAGTATACATTTTGCATTATCTACTTGTAATCAGGGCTTAACTTGCAGGAGGGGAAAAACACAAACTAATGCTCTTATATTAAACAGAAAGGGTACCATCAGGTTTATGTAACCATATCCACAATGGATGTGCTTTCTCAAAGGCTGGTCTGATTCAAGAATTTCTTGGGGGCTTTATAGATTTGGTGGAGATTATTGACTGAACATTCGAGACATAGAGATGAAAGTCAACAGAAGTCACTATTTCCACAATAACATTGGAGTCACCTGGACAAACTCCTAAATGGACCAGGTAAGTAAACTATTTCCGTCTGTAAAAGCAACAGTACCTCTTGTAGGGTGATGTTTGAATTCCTAAATCAGGTTGTTGACCAGTGTCTCTAGCATCAGAGGGTCAGTGAGAGCAGATAATTCCAAAGAGGCAGCACTGCTTGTGACAGCCTGAGAGACATTGCATGGAGAGGAGCCTGCAGGGCAGCTGATACCCTTAGAAAAGGAGGGAGTTGGAGGGAATTTCCCAAAAAACAAATATTTGAATGTATGAATTGCTCTGTGGTTAATATAATTTAGTAAACCTGTATGAATGAGCCAAAAGTACAAGTTTATTTTGTCTTTCTCTAGATCCAGCTATCTCTTTAGAATATTTTCTTTAATGACCGTAACATGTGTTTTATCCAAGAGACTTGGTAACATCTGGTTTAAATAGTTGTGCTCTATAATTTTCAAGTAATTCAGATCCTTTCCCTCACACTCATCTCTTCTGTAACTGTGTAAGTTTAATTCTGTGATCATTTCCGTCTTGTCTTTTCAATATGCTGTAATAGCCCGTGAGGGCAGGGACCTGGCTGGCTGCTTGATTGATTGGTTGGGTGGATGGGTGAGTGGCTAGTTTTCCTCATTATATCCTCACCATCCTACACCATGCCTGTCATACAGTGGGTACTCAGTAATTCTTAGGAATGAATAAATGAATACAAGTTAATAAGGTTGATGGAGCTCTTTACTAAAGTCTGCAAGTGACTCTGTTCCTTCTACATGGAATTTTTCTGGAGGTAGAGAGATGGATGGATTGATTGATTGATTGATTGATTGATAGAACAAGCATTTATTTACAAGGTAGACACTATTCTGAGCATTGTGATGAAAGGAATGGGCATAGTTTCTGCTCTTAAAGAGCTCACAGTCCTGGGGTAGATGCTCAGTAACTTGCCAACTGTGTATTTCCAGCATCTGAGGGAGAAGTGCAGTTCTGTACGTGTGCAGTGCTGCACCAGGGGTTCTTCTGGGCTGTTTGTTTCTAAGTATGCTTGTCATATCTGTGTCTTAAAGAAATAGAGACATAAAAGTCATGATTTGTATTTCATCCTGTCTGCCAGGAGCTGGAGACTCAGAAACAAACCAGACAGAGACAGAGATGGTCCCTGCTAGCAGGGATGGCAAAGTAAACAGGCGAACAAGAGACATTTAATAGCACTGTAAGTACTGCACATGAAATCAGTGTAGGGGTGCAGCCAGGGAGGGAAGAGCCAAGAGAGACTCAGGGAGGGACTCCTTTGAGTTGGTGACACTGCACCGAGAAGGGAAGTAGGGGTTGGAACCAACGTGGTAAGTCTTCTGGGGAAGCGTCAGGGCCAGGCGTAGCTCAGGAAACAAGCTTGGCGGCATCAGGGAAGGCCGGCAGTGGATGTGACCTGGCCTTGGCTTCCATGGGGTGAGACAAGATCCAGGAAACCCACAGCTACATTCAGCACCTGTGGGTTCTCGTCCGCATTGCAACCAGGAGTTAATGGTGAATTCACACAGCTCACAGGATGGCCACTCGCAGACGAGGGCTGTGTGGTGCTGAGCACAGAAGCAGCACAGTTGTGTAGCTGGATTTCAGAGACAGGTCAATGAGACCCTGGATGCAATTAGCTTGCCATCCTCTGGGGAGTTCCCTTCCGCCAGCGCGTCACCTTGGCCAGCCCAGCACTGGTGTCCGTCAGGGTGGGGTGTGTGTACCGGGGTGATGCCCAGGACACAGAGGGTTTGTGCCCTAGGAAATGTTTGAGAAGCCCACCTGTCAGGAGGAAAAGGATTGGGTTTGCGGGGGGATTAAAAGCAAAACAATTTCAGATCTTTCGGGGTGTGGGGGGAAGAGTGATTCTGGTCTTCAGTCTGTAATGTGAAGAAGAATGGGGAACAGTCCTGTGGCCTTAGGATGACCCGAGTGCGGTCATTACTCAGTGGGTGACCCTTTGCTGCCTATAGGCCCCAGGGCTGAGCCCCAGGGAAGCAAGGGCAGGGCAGGGTCTCTGCACAGGTGTTGAAGACAGGGCCGACCTCTTTTCCTGTGTGTCCGGCCAGGGATTAGGGGGAATCGAGGGAAGCATCCAGCTCAGAGGAAGAAGCTGAACCTAATGCTGAAGTGGCTGGTGTGGGTGGGGTAGAAGTGATTGGTTCAGCAGTGTGTGAGTTGTGTGAATAGGTCATAGGAGTGCTGGTCTGTCCGTAGAATGAAAGTATTTGTGGCACACACAGTTACACGACTGGCACCAGTTGGTGCTCCGACCCTCTGCTGTTAGGGTTTTTTTTTTTTTTTTTTTTGGTATTTTTTAAATTCATATGAATTAGTAAATACCCCTGTCCTTATTTGGCATGTGGTTTTTCTTGACTTTTGGTTTTGGGGCAGTGGATTCCGCGTTCATGGTTTTCGTCCCTGCTCAAGCAGCAGCTAACGGCTCTCACAGCTCATGGTCTGTATCTTGGGTGAATTTGCAGGTGCATTCGTCCTCCTGCACTGTTGCCTCCTGGTGTCAGGGTGCTTCACTTGAGAACCTTCCAGAAGGACCCTCTACTGCAGTGGTTTGGGTTTTCCCTCTTGACTCTGCTTCATCGTGGGTAACCTTGGCCTTGATTTGCTCCCCAGAAAACAAAGAAGAGCTCTGTTTCTTTGCCAGCCCTGTCACTAGAAAGGGGAGCAACTCAAATGTAGCCCACCAGCTGCTCTCCAGGAAGACTGCAAAAATGCAGAGATAGGAGCAAGTGCGGCTCCTGACCGAGCAGAGTCGCCGTGTGCATGGGGCAGGCTTCCAGTGGCCTGGCTTCACCTTTCCCTTGCATGCTCATCCCTTCCTTGGGTCCTGTGAGCTGCCATATTGTGCTTGCTTTGACTTAAGGTAGCCAGGTTTGGTTTCTGCTGCTTGTTACCAAAGAATCCTAAATGACACCTGAGCCATGCCAGGTGCCTCCTTAGTTCCCATGCCCATAAATAAGTCCTTGAGAGAAATAACTCCTACCAGGAAAATATGTAACTTAGCCAGCAAAGGGTATTAACCATGGATTCCGTGGTGGAATGTGCTGTTCCTGCCAGGTATTGTACACGTCTTCCTAAGGAATGCTTTAGGGGAGGACGTATTTTGGTCATGATACATTGCGGTCTTACCCAGAAGTTGTCCAGAGACTGGCCCGAGCAAAGCTGCTCACTCTCAAAGGACAACACCTGTGGCTTTCATAGCCTGCAGCTTTGTCAGGAACCCAAAGAGCAGAGCAGATGCAGGGAGCAGGAATTCATCCCCAATCTTTGCTCCCTGAAAGCATCCGAAAGCTTCGACAACTGAGTTTTACATGAAACACAGATTTTGTACTCTTATTTGTTAATCATTGTATTTCTGGTTTTAGTTTCAACTTTGTGTTTTCAAAATTCCCACAAAGTATAGATTATAGAATGCAGTTTTTGGCCGGCGTCCCGGCTCAATAGGCTAATCATCCGCCTGTGGTGCCGGCACACTGGGTTCTAGTCCCTGTCGGGGCGCCGGATTCTGTCCCAGTTGCCCCTCTTCCAGGTCAGCCCTCTGCTATGGCCCGGGAGTGCAGTGGAGGATGGCCCAAGTACTTGGGCCCTGCACCCCATGGGAGACCAGGAGAAGTACCTGGCTCCTGCCATCGGATCAGCGCGGTGCACCGGCTGCGGCGGCCATTGGAGGGTGAACCAACGGCAAAGGAAGACCTTTCTCTCTGTCTGTCTCTCTGTCCACTCTGCCTGTCAGAAAAAAAAAAAGAATGCAGTTTTTATGCTTTCAAAACCATGTTACAGTGAAATTTAACAAGGTTTTTTGTTAATACCATAAAAATGTTACAAGTATTAGTCATAACTCCTTTCAAGACTAATTGAAATCAGCATTTTTAAAACTGGATATAATTTTTAACAGATTTATTTATTTGAAAGGTTCAGTTATAGAGAAACAGGGAGAGAAAGAGAAATAAAGAGGAAGAGAGAGAGAGAAAAAGATCTTCCATCTGATGGTTCACTCCCCACATGGCTGCAATGGTCAGGGCTGGGCCAGGCCAAAGCCAGGAGCCAGGAGCTTCATCCAGTTCTCCCACATGAGTGCGGGGCCCCAAGTACTTGAGTCATCTTCCACTGCTCTCCCAGGCGCATTACTAGAGAGCAGGATTGAAGTAGAGCAGCCAGGACTTGAACTGGCGCCTGTATGGGATGCTAGTGACTCAGGCAGAGACCTTACCCACTACACCATAACAATGGCCCCAATTCTTTTAAACCTTGAATCTGAAAATAGGCATTAAAATTAGAAAGTAATATTTTAAAATAAGGTTCCTTTCTTGGTTTTTTTTGAAGAATTATTTTTATTTACTTGAAAGGCAGAGTTACAGAAAGAGAGAGGGAGAGACAGAGAGAGAAAGGTGTTCCATTCATTGGTTTACTCCCCAAATGGCTGTAACAGCTAGGGCTGGGCATTCCAAAGCTTGGAGCCAAGAGCTCCTTTCAGGTGTCCCATGTGGGTACAGGCCCTAAAGCACTTGGGCCATCCTCTGCTGCTTTCCCAGGCACATTAGCAGCGAGCTGGATTGGATGTGGAGCAGCTGGGTCTTGAACCCACACCCATATGGGATGCTGGTGTTGCCGGCAGGCAACGAATTTACCTGCTACACCACACCATCCATTCAAGTAAGGTTATTTTCTAGTGGTATTACTTTGTCTAAATAAAAGATATTTTTGAAAGTTTGTAGTTGTGTTTATTTTGGTTTAGATTTTCTTTCTTTCTTTTTTTTTTTTTTTTTTGGTTTCTGGTTGGTGTACCCCATAATCATTTATTTTAAAACATTTCTTAAATAGTAAATACAATGCGAGCTCTTAAAAGTTCATGGAAAATGTGTATCATGAAAAAAATCATGCATGAATTTAAACACTTTTTTGCCTGAAGATAATTCCATTTTCCGTATACTGCTTTGAAGTGCCATCGTAAATTGCTGAGGTCTGTACTCTGTGCTGGAATTGAATCATTGCTTGCAGCAAAAAGTACACGGGGTTCACGTTTGTGTTGCGTTTCATTTTTAGCTCTCTCTTGAAATGCAGCTAAGAGATCTCAATGTCTGCGCTTTACGTTGTTAGCCTCATTACTTTGTGCTTCCTTCTGCTCTCATTGCTCGTCTTTGTTCACTGCGTCCAACTGTGTGCATAATCACAGTCCAGTCTTCCGTCTTCCAGGAGGTCTTCCACATTCACTTCCTTTAAACCTCCCTTCCCAAACGCCCATCTCACCTGAGGTTCCTTTGTGATATGCTTTTGGTTGCCTTATTATTCAGCATTCTACATAACTTGTACTCAATTGGATTCTGTATTTGCTGAAATTATGCATTGAGACGTATAGCCAAGAATTTTTTTAACTAAAAAAAAAAAAAAATGGAATAGTGATGTAAAGAAAATTGGACATATCTGTTGGGTACTATTTGATGCTTCAACACATGTATACGTTGGATGGTGTCCAGTGAGGGTAAATATAGCTGTCCATCCAAACATTTAACATTTCCTTATGGTGAGAACACCCAGAATTGTACATCCTAGTTCTGTTTGTTTGTACTGAGAGTGACTGCAGATAAGCTCTAAGTGCTTTAGAATCCTGGCCTCTTGCTGGCTTGCACTGGGCAAATGTTTGTCGGTCCCCATTGTCCTCTGAGCGCACGACTCAACTTTTCTAGGTGGTTTCCTCTTCTGGTAAAAGCAAGTATCTGTCTGTATTTTTCAGTAATACCAAGTATCGTTTATGCAGGTAGTTAGCACAGTTCACTGGATATAGTCCTGATAATGATACAGTTAAACTTATGCTATTCTCCCCCTTTGCCCAAAGGAAGTAAGAACTTGTAGTAGACGATGTTGTAGGAGATGGAGCCAAGACTCAGACAGAAGACCACTCTCTCAGAGTGCTCTGCATCCTGCAGAAACTGAATGAGGGGACCAAGGAGTTGTCCCTTGCCTGAGATCTTTTCCTACTCAGGTTTCGTGGTGTGGTTCCCCGTTCATGTCTTTGAGTTCCTCCCCTGGTCATTTCTCTGCAGGTTCCTCTTTGCTCACCTCAAGAATATTAGAGTGGAGAGAGTGGTTACAGATCAGCTTCCCTTTGCGGTGTGCAGCTGGGCTCTGACCTGAAGCCCCTGCTGGGCTTGCAGAGTCCCTCTGTGTGCGTCCAGGTTGTGTTCAGCCGCTGCTCTCCGCCTCGCCTCCCTGCCACTGCGTAGCTGGGTCGCTCTTGTCCTGTTCACTGCTCCTTTGCCTATTTCCCTTCTTCCCCTCAAGCTTTACATCTGCCTTCCTCACCAAACATGTTTCTTGTTGGTCGAATGTGTTTTTAATTTGAGTCTTCAAATCATCTCCCATTGCCTGGAGTACTGACAGCTCGTCTGAAACCCCATTTGTAATTGTATCCTGTTACATTAGATTTCATCTGCTTTTTTTTTTTTTTCCTCTCAGGAATCTTGTTCTCCTGATTTTCTTATGATATGATCTCTCTATCTGCTGCTTTGTTCAGACTTCACCATTTTTCTGTGCTGACAACAGCAGAACAAGTTGAAGTTGATCTGATAGTAATCACATATGTATCATTAGAGTCCATTCTATAGTTATATAATGGGATATAAACTCTCTGCTTCTTTCTATCAATCTTAATAAACTAAGATTTTTCATATATATTTAAAGATTTATTTTATTTGAAAGACAGACTTACAGGGAGGGAGAGAAAGAGAGATCTATCTTCAACTGCTGGTTCACTCCCCAGATGGCTACAACACCCAAGTTTTGGTCAGGCCGAAGCCAGGAGCTGGGAACTCCATCCTGGTCTCCCACATGGGTGACAGGGTCCCAAGCACCTAGGCCTTTCTCTGCTGCCTCCCCAGGTACATTAGCAGGGAGCTGGGTTGGGAGTGGAGCAGCTAGGACTCAAACCAGTGTTCTGAGTACAAGTGGCAGCGTAACCCACTGTACCACAATACTGACCCCAAATTTTATGTTTTTAAATAATTATAGAATTTCAGGAGTCTGTAAAATTTGGATAAGAAAGGGGTCATTGTTACTGCACAGTGGGTTAAGCTGCTGCCTGCAACACCGGCATCCCGTGTCAGAGTGCCCGTTCAGCCTTGGCTGTACCACTTCAGATCCAGCTCCCTACTAAGCAGAAGAAGATGGCCCAATTACTTGGATCCCTGATAGCCATATGGGAGTCTCAGGTGGAGTGCCAGGTTCTTGGCCTCAGCCTGGCCTAGCCCTGGCCGTTGCAGCAGTTTGGGGAGTAAACCAGCAGTTGGAAGATCGCTTTCACTCTATGCTTTTCTAATAAATAAAACAAACCTTTAAAAACATTTGGATAGTGCTCGTTTTGGCAGCACCTATACTAATAAAACTGGAGTGCTACGGAGATTGGCATGGCCTCTGCACAAGGATGAAATGCAAATTCCTGATAAATCAGTATATATGAGTTACTTGAAATTTGTTTACCTTAAATTAAAAAATTAAAAATAAAAACATTTGGATAAGATAGAAATTTCTATGAAAACTCTGGGAGATAAGTAAGCAGATTTTGGTGAAAGTGAGTGACTCAGTGTGTTAAAAGACTTGAGCATCTCTGTGTCAGTTTTGGGGGCTCAGCCCCTGTGTCCTGCCTGTCCCTGTGTTCTGACCACTTTTCTTCTGTTAGGACTCCACGTGACAACCTGTTGGTTAAGGAGTTTTCACTCAGACCTAGAGTCTACAGAGCAAAACTCCATACTCTCACATTTGAAACAAAATGTCTTATTTATAGTTTACAGAAATAATTTAGGTTATTCCTTATCCTTTTGAAGACACAGACTAGTCAGCAGTACTTAGTTCTGTCCACTAGGAACATGGTCTCAGAGTCTCCAGGAAACTGACCCACCTCCTGATTTTAAAGGATCCTAATTGGACAACTTCATCATTAGTTTGGTGCTGGATGAAACTCTTACCATGCCCATAAATTAGCTCAAGGAAGTCTAACATACCTACAGTTTGAATCCCTTTATCAAGAACTGCCCTGTTCTCCATTGTGTCACTCCTTCCCAGCCGAGGCTATGTGAAATCTCACTCTAGTCTCTTCCATCCCTGGGCTAAATGCATAGAGAGGCCCAGGTTGACTTAATATTTTTTTTAAGATTTATATATCTATTTGAAAGTCAGAGTTATACACAGAGAGAAGGAGAAGCAGAGAGAGAGGGAGAGGGGGGAGAGAGAGAGAGAGAGAGAGGTATTCCATCCGTTGGTTCACTCCCTAGTTGGCCGCAACAGCTGGAGCTGTGCCGATCTGAAGCCAGGAGCCAGGAGCTTCTTCTGGGTCTTCCACACGGGTGTAGGGGCCCAAGGAGTTGGGCCATCTTCTACTGCTCTCCCAGGCCATAGCAGAGAGCTGGATCGGAAGAGGAGTAGCCGGGATTCGAACCGGTGCCGATATGGGATGCTGGCACTGCAGGCAGCGACTTTACCCACTACGCCACAGTGCCAGCCCCGGACTCAATCTTCAATCCCAACAGTAGCTCCGTTTCTGCTGCTCGGTTTTCTACTGGGGAATGAGCTCTTTGGCTTGAGTTTCTGACCTCGTGCAGCCAGAGCCCGACCACCCAGTGCTCCCCATCACTTCTCCTCCTTCCAGACGGTTAACCCCCAAGTGCCAGCCAGGTCCAGCCAATCCTGATTTCTCAGCTTGAATTTCTGCCTACAAAGGCCATCTTTAGTCATGGCCTTAGCATAGGCTCTCTCAGAACCAGAGTGTTTGATCTGCTCCTGTAGCCTCCATCTTTTCTGTTTTAATCAAAGTTGTGTGAAACACCCTTGTCGTTGTATAATGTAAGCGTTACGTGTCAGAGAAGGAGTATTGTGTTCTCAGGGCACGGCCCTGTAATCTAATCAGATGCAGCACTGAGTAGTGAACCGAGAGTCATGACTGCACACATGCCAGCACCCTTGTGAAATCCACCCTTTGCATTCAGCAATCTGAATAGTTGTGATAGCCTCAGCACACCCGTACTTCAGGTTTTCAGCAGATTTTGACGAAGCTGGCTCACTTTAGTTATGAGTTATAAAGGGCAAGCTGCAGTAATTTCTGGTATGATAGTGGAGCAGTTATTTCTCTGTAGATATAAAAGTGAGATATTCTGACAGAATTGTCTTGTGTGCTGATTTGTGTGAATAAGTCAGCAGAGGAAATAATGTGAGATCTAATAAATGTTCACTCAATGAATGAATGCGTTGACTAACCATTCTATTTATTTTTCAGAGCGTGTTTTTGAACCTGATTATTTTATTGATTCGTATATGTATGGTTTGTCTCCTTGAAGGTTATGATAGAGCTAAATCATTGGGCCAGTTGATAACTAAGTGATTTGGATGACAGATATGGAGTTTACATGCCCATGTGTCACATCCAAGGGAATTTTTCCATTGATTATGTTTGCTACTTTTTCTATACCTACCAGAAGTAACTAAAGATATGTATTATTTGATATCAGACATAAATATCCACTCCTTGCAGTTGTAAGCTTGTAGGTAGTGTGCACGAGGTCTCCTGCATTGGAACGTGGAGCAGGACATCTGCCTGGACAGTGTTAGCATGGGTGCTCACGGTCAGAGTAACATGTAGCAGTGTAGCATTACTTGTGCCCAGGCATGGACAGCTTAAGAGGGAGATCCATTCACTTACATGGATGGACGTGGAAGGGGAGCCATTCTGCAACCAGATTCCTCCAGCTGCTTTTTTTTTTTTTTTTAAGAATTTATTTACTTGGAAGGCAGACAGAGATACAGAGAGAGAAGGAGAGTGGGAGAGAGGGAGAGAGAGAGAAATATCTTCCATTCACTGGTTCACTTCCCAAATGGCTGAAATGGCTGGGGCTGGGCCAGGTTGCAGCCAGGAACCAGGAGCTTCTTCCAGGCTGCCCACGTGGGTGCTGGGGCCCAAGTACTTGGACCATCTTCTGCAGCTTTGTGAGACACATTAGCAGAGAGCTGGGTCAGAAGTGGAGCAGCCAGGACTTGAAGTGATCCCCATATGGAATGCTGGTGCTGCAGGAGGACCCTTAACCTTCTGTACCACTAAGGCCTACTGCTGCTTGTCTTGCAGTGTGTAGGTTTTCCATTCCTGACACTTGCTCCATCCACATTCCGCCAGACAGGAGAGGAAAACAGACCAACTAAAGGGCAGAAAGTGTGGCCCACCTGTGTTTAAAGAGAGGCTTTGTTTGCGTGTTCTTGCAGAGCTGTCACATGCTACGTGGAACTGCGTTGGAGGCGGGGAAGTCACTCCTGCTGCGGCAGTCCAGGAGGCCGTGAGTGTGACTGTGAGTCAGGGAGTTCTGTACTCACTGGAGAGGGAAGGGCTGCTGGTGACAGTGAGCACTCTGCCCCCACAGGTGAGTTAGTTCAGGCTGAAGATGCTCTGAAAGTAAGACTGGAAATAGTGTAGTCATTGGGGAACACCTCAGGGCAGTCACTGCAGTTTTTAAATATAAAAACTCACAATGTATTTACAATGTATCTTATCAACTACCAAATTAAGTATATCTAGAATGAGGCATAGAAATAAAATAACATCTACAAGCATATTTCTGGTATTTTTCTTGAAAAATTTTTGCACCAAAATAAACGTATCTATTAATTGCATTTCCCATGAACCTTTCAAAGTACCCTCATGTTAAATCAACGATAGCATATGGTAGGTCCTACAGCACAGTGACGCTGCTGATAAGCAGTGGTAATGAAAACAAAAGAAACTAAATAGATCATTTATCATCAAAAGGTAAGGGGTTAAATGTGTCCATCAAAAAACAAAGGCCTCGGGGCCTGTGGCATAGCAGGTAAAGCCACCGCCTGCAGTGCCAGCATCCCTTATGGGCTCCCATTCAGGTCTGGGCTGCTCCACTTCCGATCCAGCTCTTTGCTATGGCCTGGGAAAGCAGTAGAAGATGGCCCTAGTCCTTGGGCCCTCTAGCCATGTGGGAGACCTGGAAGAAGTTGCTGGCTTTGGATTGTCCCAGCTCCGCCCGTTGCAGCCATTTGGCCAGCAAACCAGCAGATGGAAGACCTCTTTCTGTGAGTGTCTCTACCTCTCTCTGTAACTCAAATAAAATCTAAAAAAAAATAAAATAAAAAATAAGACTTCAGCAATTAACATATCATAAGGACATGTACAATGTTGCACCAATGTCAGGCTGGGACAATGGGAAATCAGCCAAAAGTCTGCTGTGACTTAGTATATGGATAGAGTGGTCGGGTGTGTGAGTACTCACTGTGCGCCAGCTGCTGCTGTCATCACTTGCACACACTGAGTCATCCCAGTGTCCCTGTGAGGCTGTGTTGTTGCTGTGGCCGCTGAGATGCAGAGAGACCGTGAAGGCTGTGTTAATGCACCTCCTCCGCCCCAGCCGTGCTCTTTGCCACCAAGAGTCGTCGCTGTTCACAGCGTCACTGGCCAATTTTGGATGCTGATTCTCTTGAAGCATTGTCAGTGTAATAGGCAGGATTTTTTTTTTTTTAAGTTTTAACATTAAAAAAGTTGTGTTTGCGTCCAGCACTGTGCCGTGGTAGGTTAAGCCTCTGCCTGTGGTGCCTGCATCCTAGATGGCTGCCAGTTCATGTCCCAGCTGCTCCTCTTCTGATCTAGCTCTCTGCTATGGCCTGGGAAGGCAGTGGAAGATGGCCCAAGTGCTTGGGCCCCTGCACCCGCTTGGGAGACCTGGAGGAAGCTCCGGGCTCCTGGCTTCAGGTTGGCCCAGATCTGGCTATTGTGGCTATTTGAACAACAGTAAACCAACAGATGGAAGACCTCTCTCTCTCTCTCTCTCTCTCTCTCTCTCTCTCTCTCTCTATATATATATATATATATATATATAACTCTACCTCTCAAATCAACAAATCTTTTTTTAAAAAATTGGGTTCTTTAATTACAAATGAGATCACAATTTTAAACTGTTACATATGTGTGTGTGTGTGAAATTTCCTACTGAGCTGATAGACTGACTCTTTGTCTACACTCACATGTGACTCCCACCAAACCGAGACGCCTGTGTCCCTCCTGGCTCGCCTGCTGCACACCCGCTCTCTGCTGGAAGCCGTTTCCCTGTGTCACTGCTGCTCTTTAGGGGCTTTTTTTTTTTTTTTTAAGATTTATTTTATTTATTTGAAAGGCAGAGTTACAGAGAGGCGGAGACAGAGAAAGGTCTTCCATCCGCTGGTTCACTCCCACAGTGGCAGCAACAGTCGGAGCTGCGCTGATCTGAAGCCAAGAGCCTGGAGATTTCACTGGGTCTCCCTCACAGGGAAGGAGCCCAAAAACCTGGGCTTCTTCAACTGCTTTCCCAGGCCACAGCAGAGAGCTGGATAGGAAGTGGAGCAGCCAGGGCTTGAACGAACCAGCACCCATATGGGATGCTGGCGCTGCAGACCAGGACTTTGACCGACTGTGCTACAGTGCTGGCCCCGCTATTTAGGATCTTAATCTCAGTATGTCTCAGCATGGCACTCCCTGAGCCCCTGCTCCAAGGGCTCTCTCTTCACCACCCAACCACTGTGTTTTTACCCTCACACAAACCCTTACTCATTATTCCCAACTCACCCCTCATGATGGAAGGCCAATCACTGACCTGGTCAACCTCTAGGACAGTGGTGGCCATAGCCCCCAGGACTGGGGCTAAGATAAGTGGGCATCCAGCCTTTAACTGAGCAATTTTAGTTCCACAAACATTTGTGAAGGAAATGATTGGAGAAATGTAAAGAGTTGCCTATGAGGTGGCTTGTGGCATCATTATGGTAGTAGTAAAAGAATATCTCTACCATGCTAATTTCTCAAAACAAGGAAAAGACAGAATAAGTTGTGGTAAAACTATTGCTGCAATTTTATGCATATGTAACATTAACTTATAAATAAATATATCCATTAATATGTATACATTTTCATGACATAGTTTTAAGTGAAAAGATCAATTATAATAGTAGTAACAGCAAAAATTGCTTATACATCAGTAACGTTGACTTAATATTGTATAATATATTATTATAAAATATATAATATGTAATGCATAATAATAATGATAATGTTTGTAAGCATGAACTTGGACAGGACAGTGAAAATGTATGCCAAATTATTCTGGACATAATTATTAAGATATTGGTTGATTTTCCTTTTTGCTTTTTCTTTCCCAAAATACATACAACCAGCAGGGCTTATACAATACCAGATGGATTTAATCTTTTCAAGGAACTGGAAATTCTCTGGGGCTAATTCTGTTGGGTGAGGTGAATAATCCTGTATTATGGGCAACTGTACAACAATAAGGCGGGTTTTCTTGGTGATTTACAAAGAGGATCTGGGGACATGGCCAACAGTAGGGTCCTAAAAGCACATTGGGCAAGAGCCATGCCATGGTAATGAGTGTATTGGCTCAGGAACACCACTGTAACAGAGAGCACTTCCTTGATTAAGTACATTTTGCTGTGTTTGATTGAAAAGATTCATTTTCACATAAGCAATGCCTGTACATATTCAATGGTTGTATTATATTATGCTCATATAGTAAAATGTGTCTCGTTGGCAAGGGACTTGAGGTAGGATGAATGAGAGCTTCCAGATATATCAACTACTAAACGCTGTAACATGGAAATGTTACCTGATTTGGAAAAAGTGTTTGTAGGTGTGATTAAGTTAAGGATCTTGGAGATGATCCTGGATTTTCTTGCTGCTCAGGAAATGCAGGTTTGACCCAGGAGGAGAGCAGGCCATGGGACCATGGAGGCGGAGACTGGAGCAGGGCAGCCACAGAACTCCCGGACGCTCCACTGGCATCTGCACCTCGACACTCTGGCCTCCAGAGCTGTATGAGACTACGTGTGTGATTTGTTAAAGCCGCCATGAGAAACTAATACAGCCCAGCTAGATACCATGCTCATTGGAATCTGGTCTATTTTCATACTTTTGAATAGCATTGTAAAGAAAAATGAAACAGAGCTAATGCAGATTTGCAGTATCCTAATGTTGATAGTTCGGTAGTAGATATGCCTTAAATTGAGGTATAATTCACATTTCTTAAAATCTACCCTTTAAAAATGTAATTCAGAAGTTTTAGTAATTCACAAAGTCGTGCAGCCATCGCCACCAATTCCATATCCTTTTGATCATCCCCCAGAGAAGCCCTGAACCTCTGTACTCTTGTGTTCCGTTCCCACCTTATTCCTGCCCCTGGCATCTCCTCCGCTGTCTGAGTCTCAGGGTTTGCCCTTTCTGTACACTGAATGTGTATAAAATCACACACAAAGTGGCCTTTCTTCATGCAGCGTGATGAACCCAGGGTTCACTCAAGTCGTCAGATATGTCAGCTCCTTACTCCTCATGGGTACAGTCCTCCTACAGCACCTCAGGAGGCTTGGTTCCAGCACCCCTAGGGATACCAAAATCCATAGATGCTCAAGTTCCTTATATAAAATGGCACGGTATTTTCCTAGACCGTGTATTTTATATTACCTGCTGCACCTCACACAGTGTACCTGCTATGCACATAGTTATTACACTGTATTACTGATGGAATAATGATGAGAAAAAGATGTGCATATTCAGGGCAGACCCCCCTCTGTTTCTGAACATTCTCTGTGGTCAGTCTAATCGCTAGATGCAGAACTCAGATACAAAGGGCTGACTGTATGTGATACTCTGTTGTTCGGAATCTTGTTTATCCATTCATCAGCTGATGCACTTTTGGGTGGTTTCTACTTTGTGACTATTCTGAGTAATGCTGTTGTAACTATTTTCCTACATCTTTTTGGGAGGACATGAGCTCTACTGTCTCAGGGATATATTAAACTCTACATTTAACGTTTTGAGGAAATGCCCAACTGTTTTCCAGAGTGGTTGTACCATTTGATGTCCTCATCATCACTGTATTGGGCTTCCATTTCTCTGCAGCCTTGTCAGTACCTGTTGTGTCTGTCTCTTAGTTTGAGCTCTTCTGGCTGTGTGCAGTGACATTTCATCGTTGTGTTTGCATTTCACTTGTGATCAGTGACAAATGTTCCCAAGCTGCATTATCTTTTTTTCAACATTGATGGTCCTTGTTATATCTGCATGCCATTTAATATATTTTACAAAAAAGGATCGCCTTTTAAATTCAAATAAATTGATCCAGAAGGAAATACATTTAAGGAGATAATACACTACCATCTTTGACTAGGTAACTGTTACAGTTAAAAACGAAATTCTCTCACCACGTGACGTTGTTTTATGGCACTGAGGCGTTTACAGCCGTTCTGTTAGCTGCGCTGTACACAGCCTCGTAAACTGGATGAAATGGAGATCTCATTGAAACTGGTTCCATGGAGCACACGGATCTCCATCAGAAGAGCTGTGCGAGGGCAGAAGCAGCCC